AACTAATGGCAATTTTCCATCTCAAACAACTGCATCCATCAATACCAAACAACTAGGGCAATGTACATGTCGCCAATTGAACATGAACCAAGATAACGAAGGATCCCAATCAAATTCTTTTGTCAATATTTTCATCAGTAATCTTTTGATTAACATGGAAAGATCTAGTAATAGTTATCAGTTTGATCCTATGGTTAGCAAGTTTGCATCAGCTCTTAATATAGTATCAGGAAATAATGCGTATGAATTTATTCGGCTCAATTTGCCATGTGCTCTACCATCTATAACCACTTTAAAAAATTATAATCAAAGTATAAGTTTACCATTACGTGAATGTGAATTCCGATTTGATTTATTAAAAAATTATTTGGATTCAGTTGATTCAAGTTTTGTATATGTGGTATGTTCCTCATACTTACCTATAGTGTCTCTTAGAAAAATGTGAATCTTTCTAATTTTTACTAGTCAACAGACGCTGATGATAGCCGATGTACAAATGAACAATAGAAGGAAAGAAGAAGGAAGACAGTCTTAGACCTCAGATACTAACAGATTTCCATAGCATTTGATAGAATTTTGTGAACTTGACCAACTTGTGATGAGCTCTAATTTATTCTCTTTAGGTTTTTACAATCTACTATAGTAAAAGAAACTTTCTACAGCCTAGAATTCAAACTCTTCTATTATGAAATTGTGATTTGAATTAATTAAATTTTTGTTTCAGTCGGAAGACTGCACAAGTGTAGTCAGTTCAATATCCTATGATAGTGCAAATGATTGTTTCATTGGATTTTCTTCAAGATTAGTGAATGGTTTACCTTCGATGAATCAATTCAGAACAAACAATTACAGTGAACTAGAGCAGTGGTTTGAAAATTTTGATAAATCCACATTCATTAATGCTCATTTAGTTGAACCTTTAATAACCAAAAGTTCATCATCGGTTCATTCAAGACCATATATCCTTTCAGCATACGGAACGAATAATAAAGTGAATGCAATTGACATTTTGTGAAAATGGGTTTACATGTACAATGAATGTAAATTTAGGAAAATTAATGTCGTTGGTTTTTCATCCGACTGCGATCCACGATACCTTAAAGCTATGCGTTTAGTTTTAGGCTTTTTTGCACGAGTACCTGACATTAAATTATTAACGGGCGATGAAAATTTGTTTAATATTAACATTCCACGAACTTGGAGCTTTTTTTTATGAGATCAACTCAGGCATTTCTTTGTATGCAAGATGGTGTTCATCTTGTAACAAAGGTTAGAAACCGCCTATTATCAACAGTTGCCACGTTACGTATAAATGGTCAAGATATCAACATTAATCATCTTCTTAATTTAATAGAGAATTATTCAAAAATCGATCATTATCTAGTTAAGTCTGATGTTCGGCCTCATGATCGTCAGAACTATTCTTCCTGCCTGAAGATAACTTCTGATGATGTCTTGAATTTATTGAATGAAACGGAAACTAAAGCTACTTTTGTTTATTTATATTTATTAAAATTAATAATTCTCGCTTATGTCAAAAAGGATACAGATATTCTTGCTCGATTATACTACGGTTGGATTGTTGTGTTTGCGTATCGAATGTGGTGATAAAAAAAATTATTAATATTTTAAAATTTTTTGATTTTTAGGAGTAGTCTTAGAATCAAACAAGATTTATCTCAAATAGAAAAAGATAACTGCTTTATAACTAAAGCTGCTTGGATTTCTTCAGAAATTAACATACATTGCTTAACATCTATAATAATTTTAGTTTCATCAGGAAAGTTACCATGGTATGCATTAAATGTATATCTTTTCAGTAGTCAATCATGTGAAGCAGCTTTTCCCAGTGCACGATCATTAAGCGGCTCATTTTCATCAATAACAAACTTTTCAGTCTTTGAATTTATGAATAAAATTGAAAAAATATCAATTTTAAATAAAATTAAATTCACAGAAGAATCCAATAATGCAATATGTTCACTTAAATTTCCGGTTCATCATAAAAATCTACGTAATGAATCATCTACAGCTGCTAACAATCAAAATCCGAACCCAATAACAACAGTTGATATTGAAAAGATAATTCTGAAAGCATACAAAAAAGCAGAGTCAATCATGAACGAGTTAAAGTTAACGCAATCTTTAAAGAGAAATGAATTAAATGATTTTAAAAATTTAAACTCATTCGTTTTTTACGAACTCAGTGAACGATTAATCGTAGATTACTCTTTCGTGAACGATGAAGATATTGAAGAAATTTCCGACGATGAAACTTGTGATGCGAATGATAATACAAATGAATGTTCAGATGCCGATGATGAGCTAAGCGAAAATGTTTTGAACGATAACAATCAAATTGTACATAATATGATAACTTCAAAACAAACATTTCAAGGAATGAAAATTTATGAACAAATCGATCAATCAAAAAAGCATAACTATTTTCCAATTTTGATAAACAATAAACAAAAATTTATTCATAAGCAAACAGCAGCGCGTCTATTAACTAAAACCAAAAATTCTTTATCGTCTAACAGGTTATCAAGAGTCCAACAAGCCAATAGACAAGAATAACATACGTATAATTACTACGTTTTGCGAAACCACTCATTTCTGCATTTAAATAAAAATATACAATAGCTGGTTGTTTATTTTTCTAAAAGAAATGTTGATAATTAAATCATAGTGATCTGCTCATTGTAATTTCCAACTTTATAAAAAAAATGATTATTATTAATGCAACGAGGAAATAACTCATAAAGAGAAAAATAATTTTTCTGCTAGAAAATTCTGTATTTAAAGAAAGCTAATCAGTTTTGATAAAACAATTACTATCAGTACGAAAATAACGAGTAAGAAATGTAAATCCATCTATTGTCTTTTCGTATTTTGTATAATTAAAATCGACTACGTGCTTTTTGAGCAATCAGACAAAAAATAGAAAGACACTTCAATTGGTGAACAAAGCAAATGCTACAATTTTTGAAAGTTTTCCATCATACCTTTAAATTCGTAAATACTTACTATTTTCTTGGACTGAGGGCTTCATTTGTTGTAAAATTATTCGAAAAATTTATCTTAAATCATGTATCATGAGAATTTTCTATAAAATATCATATTCTTAGTGGATCCTGGTGGAATCTCAGGATCCTGGTGGATTCTAGCATCCATGAGGAGCCGCCAGGAGCCGCTTTTTCCCCCTTGGATTTATGTCTACAGTGCACTTTCGAATGAAAACGAAAACAAAGGCAATCCACATAAGTGGATATTTTATTATGTACCAGTTATGGTACCAACACAATCTGATATGAATACTGATAAGTGGATTTCAGTTGTTAATGGTGAAATACGTTTGAAATTAATGTTAGGAAATAATGAAGTTCAAGAACTGGCTCGTAAAGCGATTGCCAACAAGTACAGTTTGTCTGCGATGCAATATTCAAACTATTGGGATGTTGCACCTTTGATGATTGATTCACTGATGGCTTACATAGTTAATGGACCTTCTTCTCCAGTACCTGGTGTCTATCCTTTTCGAGTTGTACATCCAAACTCACTCATTCTAACATTTCGATGTCAATGTTCAAATGATAAAAATGCACGCTCCATCATGCAAAAAACTATTAGCGGTGACTTTGAAATTGAAATAGGCTTTTATTTTGCTGGTTTTACACAAATTTCAACAAATTTACTTTCAATTACAAGCGATCAGTTGAAAAACATTTTGAGTAAAACAGCTGCCGATGGTGGCAATACAAAAGCACTCTACATTCATCGTAATCAGGTAACAAAATTTGTTGACAAGTACATCTCTAATGTAAAGAGAATGATTTATCTTGAGAATACAAACACAAATACATCGCTATTAACTAGAGGTCTTGAGGAACAATTTATTTCACTAATGCAGCAAGGTAAAGTTCATTCTATATAGATGAGAATTGAACAATGTTATGTTTTATTCTATTTTTTTCCTTTAGGTATGAGTAGAGCTCAACAAACACAATTAAGTGCATCCTTATTTAATCAAGTATGGTCTTCTTCCGATTTAAATCCTGATCTTCTAACACATGAACTTAGTAAACTGTTCACGTACAATGAAGCGGAAACAATTAGAAATAATGATACAAATACATTTCAATTTAAATTAGGACTATTTAAATTCATCAAGCAGTAGCAGTGCGTCATAAGGCGGTGGTGGAGGTTCCATATTCGGTTATGGAAGTATCAGTGGTTCTGGTAGTACTTCTAATAGTAAAACCAATTCTATGCGCGACATGCTCATCCGCACTAATGATGATATCTACTCCTTAAAAGAAATACAACATCTTCTTTCACAACAACAATCTGAGTTCCAGTGGACCGGTAAAAAATTTATACCAAAATCGTTCCAGATTTATAAGTGGGTTGATGTAACTGATAGTGTACAGGTGGCTATTGTATCAAAACAATTAATTGCTGATAAATCTAATGGTGCAATGATTCGCACGGTCAGTCCAACTAATACACCAATCATATATGCAAACAAGCCTTCAACATTTCTAACAGAAGTTATTCAACTCTATGCAGCTAATGGAACTCCTCCATGGCCACGGTTATTGTGTGATGATACAGCCGTTTCACGAGTTCTATATCAACGGTTATTCTCTGTTATTGGAATAACTTATGGTTTAGGCGATGGCTCAACAACATTTAATCTGCCTGATTTTCGAGGTAGATTTGCCTTAGGTGTCGATCAGTCAGGTTTAGTTGTTAGCAATGCAGAAAAACTAGATATTCTAGGTGGTCAAGTCAGCCAGATACCCAGTCAGACAAGGTTTTGGGAAAACGCGTTTAAACACCATGAAATCAGCCTTTTTTGGCGTTTTACGGCGTTTTTTTCAAAGCGACCGTGTAAACGCCGGTTACTTTATTTT